CTTTATATTTATTGTTAATTATTAATAATTTAACTATTATTAAATAAGTCATTAGATGTATGTAGTGTAGTTTTTTGATCTTATTGAATTTGTACACTTGTGGTCATTTATTGGCTATTTGATACTAAGTAGTTTTAAATAACATTGAATAAAATGGAATCTCTTAACATGCATAATAACTGTAACTATAAAAAAAGCAATTAAAGCAATTTTACAAACTTTTATTAATCTCTTATAATAATGCTTACCAAAAACTATTGCAATGTAATTTAACAGTATTGTAACATCTTTTAGCATAAGACTTTATGACTTTAAAATCACAAGCAAAGCCGTATTAAATAGAACATTTGTAATAAAATAAAACATTTTTTGTTTTAACCATAGTTTTATTTTCCTTGGGTTTTTTACCATTACAACAATGAAATAACTACTGCCTTCAAAGAAACATTTTTACATTCATAAAATTAGTGTTTATTTTATGCATTTTTAGTATATTCATAGATCTTCAAGCTGTAACAGATTATGGCTAAATGCTGTCTAATGGATTGCTGGCATTTTGACAGTCAATAACTGAAACAAAAAAATAATTAAAACAAAAAATATTTACTAAAAAAATATAAAATAGTTACTTACATCAAAATTCCTATTCAGTTTAGCTTCAATAATATCTTGGTCCACACTGCATGGGAGGTAGAAATCAATCAAATCATAGTTCCCTTTGGAGTCTAACACAAGCCTATCCTCTCCAACCTCCAAGTGTAAGTCTTTAAATTCTAACTGAAAATTGAAATATTTTATTACTAATATTATAAATGCGACAGTTTAGATGAATGTAAGTGTTTGTAGCCTAAACTGCTAAATGGATCTTGATGAAAAATGGCGTAGACGAAGAGAATAGTCTGGAAGAACACAGGCTACTTACTTTTGGTTTTTTTATTAAATTCTACGGGGACAGAGTCACTGGCAGAAGCTTGTGTAATAATATAAAACCACATAATCATAACTATAAAAATAAGACTTCACTACGAAAATAGGTAAACAGAAACAGGTAAAGATGAAAATGATTAAAATAGGATATTTATCACCAAAACTATGGATCCCAGAAATACTTGTAAATAAATTTTTATAATGATAATAGATTACAATAAAATCCAACCTACCTAACTTATAACAATCAAATTTTAAAAACCTCCAGTAGTTTTTAATTGAACAAAAAAGAATGTTACAATATAACAACAAAGAATAATAATTTACCAGACAACATATACATTTTTAAACTTACAATGTTCCATTAGTTTTAAAACTAAAAGTTTATTTTTCATAACATTACTTACAGTTGGTGGAATCTTAAACTCTGCCAAGAGATAATCAATTTCTCCTGTAGGTGGCTCTCTTCTTAAACGGTAATAGATTTCCTTTTTCATCTTCTCCATTTTTGGAGATTCTATAATCTTTCTCTGTTCTACAGTCTTACTAATTTCCTCGATTAATGGTTTATGCGTTGGTGATTCTGAAGTTTTAATATCTCTGATCTCAATCCTATGAGATTGTAAAGTTCCTATGGATTTCCTATTCTTGAGAACAGAGTATTTCTGTGAATCTATCTCAAACTGGTATTTGTCTTGCAACCCTTCAAAGACTACAGTTAGAAAGAATGTATGGAACAGATCATCATTTTCAATTTTAGTAAAGAATTTTGGATTAATGGCAACATCATATACAGTTGCTGGTGCCCCTGATTTGTCCAACTCTGTACGTCCTTCACCAATGCTCATTGGGACTCTGTAACTAGAAGGATCTTCAGAATTTAAAATTTTCATTAACTCTTCATTAGTAATATCTCTGGGGCATGGTATAGCTTCAGTCAAGCAGATATTGACAAAAATCTTTTTATTGTCAGGCTTCATGAAAGTTTTAACGCAAAAACCTGTAAAAACCAATATTTAAAAGGTTATTAGATTTTATAGGTATTCATAATTTGCAAGTCATCTTTATGGGTAAAAATGTTTTTAACTTTATGCACGAAAATATTTCTTTAACAAACATATTTGTAAAATGGACTAGTGTTGTTTTTTAAATGATAATGAAGTGTGTCGGTTTTATATGTAGGGTTGAGTTCACTATTTTACAAAGTATAAAATTTTACCTGGTGTAGGTTTGACGTATTTACACGGAACCGAATCTTCTGACAGCAATTTATTCAATTCCTCTTCCATTGCACTTTCCTACGACAATTGTTAAGGAATATTATTTTAAAGAATCAAGTAAAATCCATAAATTCAGCTAATAAACTTACTTTTACGATCCTCATGGTTTTTTCCATTATGGAAGGATCGACATCCAAATTTATTGTATTCTTCGTCATCTTTCTGGTTTCCTAGCAATCTCAGCTTTAGTTTTATCGATTAACTAAGAAAATAGTGACAAAATAGGACAACAATCAACAAAACATGGAAAAGGATTGACATTGACAGTGTGATCAGTGACAGTCAAAGATTAAATAAAACAACTGACAATAGCTTCAAAAACACTGATGTCTATAAATGGACAGCCTATAAACTGAGATTTTGTGTCTTGATTTTCGCCCTTTTGGCACTGTATGTCGCAGTTGATCACAGTGAAGAGTTTTCGCATTAATCGTTAACGACGATTTTCCTGGTTTGATTATAATTTAGCAATTACGTGGTAACTGTTTTATTTTATTTTTTATATAAGATGGCAAACGAGCAAGCGAACACCCGAATCCGCTAAAATGTGGAAGCGACCGCTATGCATAAGCATTCGCAATTGAAGATGCGTTGCTTACCCTTATCGACGGAGGAGGAAACGCACATCACATAAATAGGATATTTTCCCTTTCTATGTATCTCTACACTCCACTCTCTCCACTTTCCCTTTCCATTCTTTCAATTTAAGAAAAGGGAGGAAAGGGAAAGATACTAAAATTAGGCCTCCAGCATTCATCAGACGAAACGCGGAATTGCTCCCACTTCACGCCTGTCTTCTATGTGGTCATGGTATTGTACCAGGCAAGTTGGCCCAATCGTGCAAAGATGTTAAAGCGAGATCTATCACTGTTTAGGCCTCGAAGCATTAATTTCCGATTTTTTTTATTATTCTTAGAGAAAAAAAAATGGTGATCGAAGGCGAACATTCAAAGTTCGAAATCATTTTTTTTATTTCCAACGTGATACATTATCGCTAACACTGTGTAATCTACTACGAATTACGATTTTTTTTACTTGTGCAGAAACATGGGTCGTGGGTCCAAATGTTTCATGCAAAAAATATCGAGATCAGATTATACTTCTGCAGATGTTCTAATTTAGTTCATAATTGTTAGTAGATACTAAAAAAACCAACACAGGCAGCAATGAAAGACCGTTATCATTTTAATACATTTATTAAATATCACTTTTTTTCTGTAAATAAAATATATTTCTAGTGGATTTTCGCATTCATTACCTAATATCACGTATATTTGAAGTAGAAATGGTTTATCGTATCAAACTGTTATATGAATTTAACAATTAACAAATGAATACGATGTAATATTTTAAATACATTGTTTGTTTTTTTAAATCGGAGGTTTTTGACAGTTACAATGCATTACATTACAACAAAGCATACAGAAAATAACCTATAAAATGATCTTATATTTTTTTTAATTTCATACAAACGTGTGATTCAATCATAAAGTAGATAAAGTATTGTTGAAATTCTGATAATTTTACTGACAGATATAATTAAATTAATGTAACATTAGTGTTTAAGATCATATTTTGGTAGGAACCAAGCATTCCGATATTATGACCGATTTTTATTTCAATTTATTTTAAACAGAGACATTAAAGGATAAAAAAGAAATAGAAGTGAACATTAAATATTATGTGAGGTATAAAACCCAGAGATTACAAATTCGGTTACCACTCAGACTTCAGCGTATTAATCGCCTTTAAAACATGAATGAGAAAATTTTAGAATTACTCGACCTTTGGTGTCTCATATAATTTTTCTTATTCTACAATAACCTATAAATTGAAATGTATTTTAAAAAAACACTGTAAGTACTTTTGTTCGATTTCATTTTTGATATATTAATTTATCAGATAAAACGACACTATATTTCTCACTGTAATCACAATGAAATTCATCTTTCCATGCAATCATTTTACAATTGTTATTCATAATTATTTTTTTTAATTTACGACAAGAGTTTCTTTAAAAATAGTTAAGTAACCGAATCACTATATTTCCTTAATATTAAAAAAATGAATTAGTCTATGGCAAGGCAAAAATATCGTAGCGCCAATCTTCGCTTGTGTGCCACCACCTTAATCTTAAAATTAAAAAAGTCACCGTAACATTTTCAATACTGTTAGCTTGTAATCTAACCAAAAACTTCTAAAATAGGTTATTTATTTTTAAGCCCTCAAAGTCTTTAAAAAAGGTCCCATAGGTTTGAAACCAATCTCTTAATTTATAATATTACAAATCTTTATAATATTAGTATATATAGGGTAAATTTGTTTTTAGTATGTATGGAAGTAACTCAAAAACTACTGGGCCGATTTTAAAAATTCTTTCACCATTAAAAAGGTAATTTATCAGCGAGTAACATAGGTTATTTTTTTATTTCAGGCGTACGAAGTCACGAGCAACAGCTAGTTAAATATATCATTAGTAACAAGCTTACATTTACAATGTTACGGTGACTTGCTAATAAATATATCACTGATCTGAAATACAATTTATTACTATGTGGATTTTTTGACAGTTCGTCTGAGTGTGAAGTACGCCAGTATCCTGATGACAACGATTTCTGTGAGCAGCACCGCGATATTAACCCAGTAGTTGTTAGGGTTCATACTGAACTCTTCAAGAACTTTGTTAGGATACCTGAAATTATAAACATCATCATTATTATGATGTACATGTGACCGACAGCTTGTGAATACCAATTATGTGTCTGAAAAACTAGTAAAGTATCAGCAAATTGCCAATCGTGCAATTTTCGTCACGTAATTCGTATTACATTTTGAGCGCCCGTTGGTATTAATTTTGAAGTGCACTGAAATTTTGAACAGTTCCAATGAAATGTCACGGGACCTTAAACTATAGTATCATAAAGTAGTTAATTTTTTTTCGTTTTAAGAGCACCTCAACTCAACAAAGAAACATTCAGTGCCAGTAAAGCAGTCTTAATTGCATTAGGCGCCTAGACACGAAAATTAATTTTGCAATAAAGTGCGATTTACTAGCGCCTTCAGGAACCCTAATCATTAAGGTGCTCCTAAAAACCCCAATCCTTAAGGTGCTCCCAAAAACCCCAATCCTTAAGGTGCTCCCAAAAACCCCAATCTTTAAGTTGCTCCCAAAAACCCCAAATGGTAAGTGGCGCTCGGATGTAGTTTGAGTGTACCTGAGGTGGCAGTAGATGACGTCATCAGGGCAGGCGAGCGGCGCGCGGCCGTACGAGTACATGGCGAGCACGAGCCCTTCGAAAGCGTAGCGCAGGAAGGACATGTAGGAGACGAGGCGCATGGCCGGCGTCATGTGCGCGAACAGCACCAGGAAGCCCGCGAACACGATCATCGCGCACGTCGTTATCGCACCGATGAACGTTCCGTTCTACAAAAAAAAACATTTAAAGTACATAAAATAAAATCCTTGTTACTATAGGCAACATGGATAATTAAGGCTGTTTAAAGTAGATACTATAATACTAGTAATAGCTTAGGTTAATGGAAACATTTTCTTGAATATGTACTTATTTTAGTCAATTAATCTTACTAATATTATAAATGCGAAAGTATATATGGATGTATATTTGTTAGAGTTTGTAACTGTTGAATGGATCTCGACGAAATTTTGCATAGATCGTCTAGAAAAACACATAGGCTACTAACTTTTGTTTGATTTTAATTCTATGCAGACAGAGTCGCGAGCAAAAGCTAGTATTTTCATTTTTTGTTTTGAGTTTAATTACACTATATTTATGTAGTAAATGTTGTGTTCAAGTTTTTGTCTATTTCTACCATAAAATTGTTATTTTCGTAAAGTAAACTTCTTAGAAAGAGAAAACTAACCATTGTAAATTGTATGATGACGTAATACACAAAGTTATGAAATGAAACATAGTGTAAGATATTGCGTGTTTGGTTTAGTTAGATAACCGGAATCCCCACATCTGTCGCGTAATCAACCGGTACAACTTTGAACTGAATTTATCAACGTCAAAAGCTAGCGTCATGTGGAAAATGTTAATCCATGCAAATACCTAACTGCCTATCCTGTTCCATTATAATATGGAAAACACGATATCAACACGCAGTAAAATAATATGCATAAGATTCTATTTAATAGATACAAGAATAATTAAAAATTAATATAAAATTATTTGCACAACTAGAATACAAAAAAGTGCTTGAATTATATTTCTCTTTTTTAAATGACTCTCACTAATTGAAAAAAAAATAAACACAACAAAACAAACTATTGGTGGCTCAGGGGTTTAAACACTTGACTTGTAATTGATCTTGGGTTCAAATTAACTATCAAATGTACCAATGTGATTTTCAATGTTCGAATTTCATATGTACATAATTTACGACGTTCTTACGGTGAAGGAAAACATCGTGATGCTCATATCTGTGAAGAAATAATAAGATACTAGTATGTGTGAAGTCAACTCGCAGTGGAGAATGGTTGACTATGGCCTAGTCACCCTAACTTAGGGTAGACTCCGAGCCCCACATATAATGAGCTAGTGATGATGATGACGTCAAAATATGTCAGTTTTCATCAGTGTAAACCCACGGTTATACTTACAACGGGATTGACACACGTGCCGATGACATTGCCGACGGCGTCCGCGAGCAGCGTGATGTTGGCGAGGACCAGTACGAACATGCCGAAGCGCCAGATCTCCAGCGGCTGGCCTGACAGGAAGTACGACGGCGCTGAGTACACGAAGCTGAAACATATCTGTGGAAGAAAATCTTTTTTAACATACATTCTTAGATGATACAATAATATTACTAATATTATAAATGCGAAATTTTGCATGGATAAATGTTTGTTAGAGTTTGTAGCATAAACGGCTGAACGGATTTTGATGAAATTTGGTAAAGATGTAGAGGATAATCTGGAAGAATACATAGGCTACTTACTTTTGTTTTTTAATTCCACGCAGGTGGAGTCGGGGGCGAATGCCAGTTAAATAATAAAAAGCATAAAAATCTTTGTCATCATTAAAAATATTACTAGATTTTTTGTTACTTTCCTATTTTTTTACCATTCTAACTATGATTTGTGCTAGGGTATGGCTTACGATAGTCGAATGGATTCGAACCTTCGATCACGTGATTGGAAATCCGTACCCCTAACCTATTTTACTGGCACTTAATTTTAACAATGCGTTACACGAGAGAGAGAGAAAAGATGTGAGGTAAATGGAGTAAAAGAGAACGATGTGACATTGACATGATTGTATCGACAAATAACAATAATATAATGGAAATAGTGTAGAAATACAATACACCTATGTTATCATTTAATTGTACTGTACTTTCTTTGAAAACTTACATCCAGGCCCAGCAAGACCTTTAACCTTTGCTTTTATCATCATAAGTACTTGAATGCACAATAATTTCTTTAATAAAAAAAACATTATTTCTTAAAAAGACAGTAAAATAATTCACCTGTAATGGTATTCCAGTGACAAGGATGGCAGCGTAGTAAGTCTTGAGGTTGTACCAATTGTTGAAGTTTTCTTTCTTCAGCACGGCCAACTCCAGTGGGACTGGCGGAAAGAAGTCACAAATAACGTTACTAGTATACTTGAATTTATAATTTTAATCAAATAAATCATCGCTAGACGATCAGCCCTTGACAATGACTGAAATAAAAAAGCACTAACATCCGTTTTTGTAGCACTTGCTCTACTTGTACTAGGATATGGTTCAGGATTGAATGGCTGGATTCGAACCCATGACCACAAGATCAGTAGTCCGTAACCCAAATAAAGGTTATTGGCGTTTAACAATATATCAGCTTAACTTTAATCCCTTTTCCTTCCCACACTTTTTCTTATTAAAAAGGATGGGAGAGTACGTGGATTTGACGGTGGAGGAAACACATAGGAAGGGGAAACATCCCCTTATGTGCGTCCGCGTGGAATTTAAAAAAAAAACAAAAGTAAGTAGTCTATGAGTCCTTCAAGACTATCTATAAGTATATACCAAATTTCATTCAGATCCGTTCTGCCGTTTAGGATACACACTCTAACATACATCCATCTAAACTTTCGCATTTACGAGTATAATATTAGTATGATAAAAAGCTTACATTTAAGTACAGCAGGCATGAGGGAGGTGTAGCAGAGGTATGCCGAGGAGACGATGAAGTATCCGAGGTTGTTGACGGTCTTGTTGCCGTCGCTGCCCGCCTCCTCGTACAGCAGCCCGATCAGCACGCCGATCACGATGTGCAGCAACACCTTCAGGTGGGTCACCGTCTGCACCAACATATTTAAGTCTTTTACTTAGTTTCACTTAAGAATTCAAATGAACGTGTAGATTAGGCTTTATATAAGTCTAGCAAGTTAACCTTGCTTGGGTGAGACAAATTGCTACAAACCGAAGAGAATAATTCTACGATAGAAGATCAACTTAGTTAAATAGGCTCTAGGGGAATGTTGTTTAAAAGCAGACCAGTTTTTTGTAAGTTATACTGAAACAAATAATTCTTATCTTCTAATACGAAGGTTAAAATAAAAAAGGTGACAAAAATCGTAAAGTTAAAATATTAGGAAGATATTACAATAGGAAAACAAAAAAAACACCTTTTACTAGCAATACCGTTCTCAGAGTTCTCAATCGACAACTAAGGGCGACCACTTTAAGGGTCCGGAAAAAGGTCGCTATATTCTAAAATAACTTTTACTCACCCAATCTCTATACTGCTGTATGAGACATCGCTTGAACAGTATACTGAACTTGTAGACCTCGTGTGGCCGTCTGATGATGGTGGACATCTTTCCGCAAGAGAACTTCACCTCGTCAGAGCTGGTCGGGGTCGGGGGAGAAGGTAACTCCTTGTCCTCGGGACTAGAGCATCTAGCTGCCAGTTGCTCATTGAAGTTACCGTATTCTAAATTTGCTATTTCTAGTACTGTGGATAAATAAATATTTTGTTATTAAAGCTAAAAAAACATACTGTGACTTACTTTTAGTAAATAAATCATACAAATATTATAAATGCGAAAGTTTAGATGGATGGACGTATGTTAGAGATTGTAAACTGCTGAACGGGTCTCGATGAAATTTGACATAGATGTAGAGGATAGTTTGGAAGAACACATAGGCTACGCGCTTTTGTTTTTTTTTAATTCCACGCGGACGGAGTCGAGAGAGTAAAATAATTTAAAACAATGTAGATCGAAATAGAGACTGATCTTGTTTTATTCAGGTCGCTACATAGGTACATTTATAAGGTTGCTTATAACAAGATATCGTATTGCTTCCCTTATTCCCTTCTTTTTTTTATTTTATTATTTTTATATAACAAGAAAACTAAACATACTTAGTATGAGTTCTGAATGTATGACTTACTGTAATCCGCA